CATGCTTGTTCTACCTGGTATCCCTCTAGAAGTGACGATCTTTATTACTGAGTTATTGAATAGTTCGATTGATTGTTCAATGCAGTATACATAAAAATAGGTTGTAATAATAATAATAAAACTCTTTTTATATAAAAAAAATTTTTCTTATTCAGATAAGAAATAAAAATATATAATAGATATTGATAACAATGTTTTAATTCTTTGGCAAATCATACATACCATTTCCTACGATAAACATCTACAAAGTAATACGAAAAAGAAGAATTGAACCACTCATTAATATATTTGTTCTGCTCAAATTATTCCATGATAAACATTGAATATTAGAATATAAGTAAGATTGAGAATACTTTAACAAAAATGAATTAGAATTGAATAATCCTAAGAACAACTTTATTGATTTTGTTTTTTTATGTACATTAGTAAGAAAATAGTCAGACATTTCTTTTGTTTGTTCTTTTAATAAACATTTATTGACAAAATAACAAGATCGATTTCAGTATCATATCATTGTAGGTTTTTAGCCAACATGTTGGTCGATGTCAGCTCTTGAAAGTACTTCAGTTTTGTGTTTTGTCTTTGGCGATGATGATTAGAAATCATTTAACACTCATCAGACAATCATTGAGATTTTCCAATGAATTTTTAAAAATTTTCTTAATTTGGAGAAATTTTGAAATGGGAAAGTGAGAAGATAGTAGTAGGAAACTTATTGGCAAGTAATCAGGCAAGAATATCTTAAAAATTGATCACGGACATTTGAAATTTGCAAATATCAATTTTTGTATCACGGCACGACTGAATCGATCAGCATACACCTCTAGATATGATAGTGTTTTAAGACAGCAAGAGAAAAATGAACCAAAGATATTAAGTAATGAATAATTTCTTTGACAAAAATAAAATTAATACAAATCTTATTATTGAAACACATCAATGTTTACATAAAAACTATCATCAATCGTTCATACTGCTTTTTCCGTACGAATATCCAGCTTCTAAATCCTTTTATTTTTATCTAATATTCATATGTATATTTTGGACGAGTATCTCTGAAATTTTTGACACATAAATAACAATTGTTTCGTTCACTAAGGATGTGTAAATGAATGAATGAAAAACATTTTCATCAACTATAACAATCCTGCATAAAAAAAACGACTGTCATTTTATTAAAACAATGCCAAAAAATTACCAACTCTGTTATTTTCTTCTTTGCCAGTAGAATATCTAATAGCCATTCTATTGTACTTCCAGATCGACCCTTATGCTAAAGATTTCATGGAAACAGATGAATAAAAGATAGAACTTGTGCTTTTTTTTCATCATTGAATAAATATGTTCAGCAGATAAGATAAAACAAGGATATAAAATTTCTGTTCATATTTTGATGCTTTTCATAGTAGCAGAGCAACAAAAATAATTCTCTATGGTTACATGAATGACAAAATAATTGGCAAGGGATATCGTTTAACCCTTGATTTATTCATCTGTTTCGATCTTATCCAAAACACTTTTCTTTCTTTGTGCTTGTGGATAGCGAAATCAAAAGAATAAATGCAATGTACGCATAGATCATAACTGATTTTAGACAAAGACGACAAGAGAAAAATAAAAACAGTTATCAAAAATTCCTTATGGTTTAAGGAATACTCATAGTGTACAAGCAAGGTCATCGAGTTGAGCTTAGTTAACAAGAAATTTAATTAAAGTCAAAGCAAGGTTTCGAACAGCTTTTATCGTAATTTATAGTGATAATTCAATTTTTATTACGTGTGTAAGGTGAATAGATGGGAGTTTGTTCGTGAAGAGAAACTGTTCACCAACATCCAAATTTCAAACTCGTGCTTTTTGAATGTCATTTTCTGTACTTTTTTTTTGTGCATAAACTCTTTGCATCTCAATTGTTTGGTCTTCATTCAATGTTTGATTTCATGTTATAATGACAATTATGTCTGATGAAGGCTATACATTGCAGGTAATTAAGAAGGAAAAGAAACAAATAGTTGTTCTGCGAGCTCTACAAAGTACAGCTCATTAAACACAAATAGTAAAACTCAATATTTAGCGAACCCTAAAAATTGCAGTTCTTTAAAAATAAAACTGAACGTGTAAGTTTTTAAATATATGAAAAAAAAAATTTGAATTCTTGGGTTCATATTCAAAAACAATAATTTACGCTATAAAATAAGTTTTTTTTATAAGTAAATTTTTTAAGACTTTAAACAAAGAAAATTTGAAACTCCAGATTGTGTTCTATTTGTATAATTTAAATTGAAAAAACAAACGAAATAGAATTTAACTGTTTTTGCATTTTGAGCTCATGTTCGCCAATGAGAAGACACCTAACAAGCATACAAACGTACAGACGCATTTTATTTTATTTCGTATGACCATCCTTTCAATTGAGTGAATAAGAAATGCCTTTATTGACTTGCACAGTATGAATAGAGTCTCATGGCTAAATAAATATGATAGATGCACAATCGTTGATTAAACGGATCTTTTTTTTTATCATTTATAGTCATATTAAAGTAGAAAGAAAAAAGAGACAAGAACTATCTGAATGCATATTTCATATGCAAGGTTTTTCTCTACGTTATCGACGATATGCACCATTGGTTACAAGAAAAAGAATTACGCCTTGAATGTATAAAACAGCTTTATCTTTCTCATTATTTATAAAAAGAAAATTTTTGTTTCCTCAATATTCTCATTGCTAGACTGCCAACGAATTTATATATTCGCAGCATAACTGCACAATCATATCATTTCATGAACTTGTTTACATTTATCTACCAATTTATCTTCAAATGCCGAAAAGCAGCAAGTAGCAATTGAAGTGATTCAAAGAAATAGTTAGTTTGATCATCTTTTTAGTGTTGGTGGCTACAATTTTCACAGCACAATCAGTACCAGTTCAAGATATTGAAGCTAAACGCTTTTAAATTATATACAAAAATACTTATGATTTCTTCGTTTATCACAAAGTTTTAGATTGCAGCATAGGTCATATAACAAGCTTCAAATCTTTACTTTGAATTCAAAAAAATATTTGAATGGTTGTTTAAAATAAATTATTCATTCATTGTGGATTACGCGATGATATCATTAACTCCAAATCTCTGCTTTGAGTTGAACAGAATATTTGAATAGTTGATTGATATGACTTATTCTTCAATCGAGTGTTCCTCGATGATGTAATCAACTATAAATTTTTGTTTTGAATTGAACAATATATTTGAATATCGGTTCTTATTATTCGTTCATTGTGTAGTACATTTGAATAGGCAAATGTCCATCATTGTTTCTTTGCCGTACGCAGCATATTTGAATAGGATGTTTAAACTAAGTATGTAGTGCTAGTATAGTGTTGTTGATAACCCATCGAAGGAGTGCCCTAATAATGTACTCGACCATTCATATTTTCTTCCATGAGTTTGTTACCATGTGTGGTGTTTTATGATCTTAAATTAATTCAATACTTTTGTAAAACCCATTCTAAAATTAGATTTGAAGTGTAGAAGTACAAATGTCGACCTGCCATCCTCTGTATCCACATAATGTTGTCGATATACAATCATAGACAATACATTTAAAAGCATCTCGTTATGATATATAAAATAATTTCTTATTGCATTTTTGAAGAATTAGAAGGAGAATAAAGAAAAGTATGATTTTAATTCAGTAGGGATTGCACTAACAATTGTTTTCTTTTTAGGACTTATGGTACAACCTCAACTTCACGTTCTTAAATGAAGCTGTATCATCAACCATCCTAAAATCAACAGGCATTATTTACTTAGCTGGTGCGGCTATTTCCGAAAGTACTTATGTTTTCTTTGCATATTATGAACCTATTTTGTATTCCTTTTATATATTACACTTTTTTTTTCTCTTTATTTTTTCCGGATTTTTCATAATTGTCGATTTTAAGACAATATATTTGAGTGATAATAAAGTTACTACTGTTCAACCATATTTGAATACTTATTCGCCATTACCATGGAAATCTATGAATTATTCACTACTTAAACTTGAATCACATGTTCCATGTGCTTTAGATTCAGTAAGAAAAACTAATTCCACGAGATATAAAATAATTAGCAAGTTAAATTCATTCACATTGTAATGAATTTGAATTATATGGAACCAAAAGACGCAAAAACGAAATTTGACATACTGAAACCTTTCAGGCTTCGAGAATCAGTCTTAATGCGTGATTGTAATTTTCATTTGTGACTGTACCGTCCGAATTTATGGAGTTATAAAAGCTAAAGTCCTGCTTTTGACTCCAAACTTCTAGATATTTCTATAATTAAACAAATATCGGATAAATTTTGATGGAGATTGTAATGTACCAAAATGCAGTTCTATGGAAAACCAGAGTCTTCTGGAAAATAATTCTTAAAGATTTTTTTCATAAACACATATCTACATATCTCTTTATTCCAGATTCTCTATGTGCGGTAAAAATTTACATCTGACCAGTAGCACCCTTTTTGAGAATCAGAAATAGTCAAAAAAAGAGAGGAAGGGATACCCTTATTGTTTTCTGAAACATTATTTATTCTATTGATTGAGCTAGCAGAATGGCAAAAAAATCGATATTAGGATTTTAGGTATATCCAATTTCATAGGATTATTTATTAAGAACATATTTGTCTAATTTTTTTTTTTCTCAAAATGTTCTTTATAATCATTTATTTCTTTTTTTAGTTCATAATTTTTTTAAACCACAATATATTTGAATTTTTTTTTTAAATAAATCAATTTAAATTAATTAACATTCCTTTTCACTAAATGAAATATTACTTAATTGATAAATATAATAAATTTAAAAATAATTCAACATTATCTGACATCTATGTAAATTTTAATTTTCATTCGAAAATTATAAGAGTTGTTGTTATGGTAATCATTCACGAGGTATAATGGCGTTGACATAAATGTAATTATATATTGTCCTGTCAAATGTTCGCAAAAAAAATTTAATCATGAGTACATATGATCAAATGATAGTTGATAATCAATATCTTGGTGACTTTGATAATGAAAAATATTTATTTTCTCAACAATCTAATGCTCAGCAAGATCTATTAAATCAAGATGAAGATGGAAATGGTTTATTGGGACGAAGAGTTTATTTAGAATCACCATCATTTGGTAATAAAGAAGAAGAAGATATGTATAGATATGTTTCAAGCCGGCTAACCAATCGTACAGGATCTATAATTGATACAATGGCACCAGTACGTACAGGTGCAGCATTAATGGATTCACTTGATTTTGAATTAGACGTTCTTGGCACTAATAATGCTCGTTCTCAAATGCCTCTTCGAAAAGAACCAAATCCAATTAAACCACCAGGACAATTATCTACTACTTTAACAAACATGCCAAGGTACATATATATATTATTTAAAATATAAATAAATATATTCTTATGCATAGAGCTGATCCTCGACAAGACCCATTACTTGGCCCTTTACTTGCTGAACTTGATGCAATGTCTAATCAACAACAGCAACAACAAATGCAACCACTACCTCCTACTTCTCCTCCTATCTATCGACGAAATTCAGTGCCTTATCAATCTAATCTTATTCGACCAATTGGTTCATCTCAACCTAATGATGGTAAAACTTTCTTTTTTTTTTCTTCTTTTATGCATTTTAAAGGTTTATTTCGCTAGAGGTAAGGATATCAATGTGTATTTAAATATAGCTCATTACAGTAAAAGGGCATGACACGAGGACATGTAATAGTTCGTTTGATTTTTTTTTCGTTTTTCTTTCATTTAGAAGTTTTCTTCTATTCACAAAAAAAAACATATTTTAATACGAGTAGAAAAGAATCGTAAAATGGTATTAACAATAAATGATGTTTACGGGACACGGTTGTCATAAGAACAAAGAATAGAACAAAGAAAACAAATACATGAAATAATAGTCGATTTAATAGTAAATTTTATTTTTCAGTTTTAACAAATATAGCCAATCAAACAGTAACTGATGCTTTGTTTGAAGCTGAATTATATGATAGTCTTGATTTAAAAGATCAACTGCAGCCACAACAACAATATCAAACAAATCCATATTCAGCTTCGAATATAAATTTACCAAATTATTCTCAATCTCAACAACAACCATCTCGTTTACCAAAAATGGATAATAACGATTTATATATGCCTTCATCTTATACTACTAATCCTGGTGCATTTTTAAATTATTTCGGTCCAGAAGATCAATTATTTCAACGACCATTACTTAATTCTCTTGGACAAAATTATGTACCAAATCCTAGACCATCACTACCACCACCCCAGCCACCGCCTCAACAATATGATACTACATTTGATCAAACACATACTCATATGTCACCAACACAACGAACATCCTATGTTCGACCTAATTTACCTCCAAATCCAATAAATACTCAACCATCATCATTACACTCTGGTTCATCTAATCAACAAAATACCAATCTATTTAATGAATATCAAAGAATTCCACCTCAACAACGTTATGAAGAACATTTGCCACGTCAAATAAAACCATCAAATAATCAAGAAATGTTTTTTTTTACAGATAATAAAGATGATCAATACGAACAACAACAACAACAACAACAACAACAACAACAGTCAAATGTAACCAGTTATCGTAGTAATGATCAACAAGATCAAGATTTCAAACGACAAGGTAAATTCTTCAGAATATAAATTGAAAACAAAGAAGTATCGTCATTTTTCTATTAAGCGATTTGGAATGAATTTCAACGTACAAGTGCTAAAACTCAAGAAAAAAATGCTAAGAAACGTGAATCACCTAATCGAGGAAAAGGTACATTTGGTTCAAGTTCAACATGGAATAGTTCCGGCAATCAACAATCATCGAATTTATTTAAACCACCACAACGTATTCTTCATCATCCACCACCAATAACAAAACCAAATAATATCGAAGAACATATTGATATGATTAAAAATAAAGAAAACTTTTATCATCGTTCACCAGTACGAAAATATGAAAATATGTATTTGGAAAGAAAAGATCTTCATAATGATTATGGAAATGGAAAACATGAACAAGAACCTAAAATACAATCGTCATCATTACCATCACCAACTAAACCTCAACGTCAATCAAGTTTACCTGTAACCATTAATTTAAATACAGGCGAAAATTCACAAACTGAATCTATACCTGCAACAGTGACTATTCCACTTGGTAAATTTATTATTTTAATTAAATACAGATTTGTATATATAGATATTTCCCTTTTGTTGGTTCTTATAGAAAGTCATATCAATCAAGATGGAGATAAAATTTCATTGAATATTGATTTACGTCTTGTTGATTTACAAAATTTTAAACAACAGCAACAGCAACAGCAACAACAACACCAACAAGCATCAGATCATCCACAATGGTCTAATTTATATCCGTTAGATCGACATATTCGAAAATTAGAACGCAGTATTGATGAAGTAAGATTCATTCTGTTTGATTTAATTATTTAAATTTGATATGTTAGACTTTACCAGCAACAAATCCACCTCAACGAAGTCCGATAATACCAAGTACAGGTGTTAACCCATTTATGGGTCGATATGGAAAAATGACAACAGGAATGAATCGTAATGGATATAATCCGCCAGTGTATGGAGTAGATTATAATTACAGTGATAAAGGTCGAGAAGAAGGTAATGAATTGATTTCGAGTACTTGACATATGATTTCTTATGTTTTTTGAAGATTCATATTTATCAAAATTGAATCAAGCAAGAAAAAATGCACAATTTAAGCCTTATACTGGTCGTGATTATGAACAATTTAAAAAGAATTATGGTTTTGGTACAGGTCATCTTGGTTATGATTTTGATAATACTACTCATAAAGAAAAAGTATAGAACTTCTTATCTATATTAAAATTTCAGTTTTATCTATTTGTATTTTTTTCTCTTATAGCTTGATAAAATGGTTAAAACAAGGCAATACGCTCAACAAATTGAAGCAAGAAATAAGAAAAAATTAGCTGATGTTTCTCGTCGTACATTATCCGATACACGATTACGAACAGAAGCATCTAAACCATCACGGGTAACTGATATATATGATATGTAATCTTCTCTTTTTTTTTCTATTCTCACTGTTAAACATATTTCCTATATCTCCTAAGACACCCTTGTGCACAAACAAATAAAATGCATGCACCTATCGTTATAATCACTGTTCCATATTGGAACTTATCTTCTATTCCACAGAAAATTTATACAATTATAGTCTTTATCATAAATGTAAACTTATACGATATGATTCATGATTAAAAAGAAAAAAAAGCAAGAAAAAAAGAAACGAATTTAGCGATTGAATATAGATCCACAGAAGACTATGTGAAATAAAGTTTTATCAAACTTTGACTACATATGATGGTTATAGACATACTGAACTAAATGCTGTGTTTTTTATCTCCTCATATAAATCAGAGATTTTGCAGAGCAGTGCATGTTTGTTATCTAATATACTAACTGATGGTGCAGAAATTATGAAGTATGTTTTTTGCTGTCTTATGTAATTGATGAAAATTTTAGAAAAGGGATCATTCGATAGAGACTTCAATTCTATACAAAAAAGAAGATGCTATTTAAAATTCTTAAAGTTCAATTATCTTTAGAACAGTATTTTGGAAAAAGCGTACAGATGTGAATTTCAAAATTATACTTGCTTAAAACATTTCAGAAAAAATTCATTCTTCGTATTATTTGTTGATCGTTTGATATTTTATATATCATCTGAAAGTTTTGTATTTTGCATGATCTTTTTTTTTTAAATTTCGTCTTTAGAATTTCTTTTTTCTTTTGAAAAACTCTTCGAAATTAACAAGAAGAATCGATTGAAAGAGAATCTTATTTATATCATTATTTTCCATATTCTTCAGATTTTTCTGACTGAAAACTAAACAACAATTGAATGAATTTTGAGTTACAGCTCTATCGGCTTGTATTACAATTAAATTCTGTGTTTGCTTGTTTCAAATTAAAAACTTTGCATGCTAAAAACTAATGAAGATTGTGCTTTTCTCAAAAAAAAAGACCGCAAGGAGACTGAGTCCGTTGTGAATGATGAGTCGCGGTGAATATGAAAAAGTCGTGGTCAGTTTATAAACGAGCTATATTGATAGTGCACAAAGTTTCCTTTGGAGTTGCATACAAATGTTATGTATATTCATTCGCAGTGGCAACTTATACCATTTACGAACGAGACGGAAAGAGCATAGTATAGCTTGAAAATCTTCATCTGTGCACATTTTTTATATTGTTCCAAAGATAAATGAACTTTTCTAATTTCAAAACCACTCCAATCCTATTCATCCGGCAACGGTATTATCTGCTTATTTTTATTTTACTTTCTGCCACAGAAAGATAGTTGGTATTTCAAAACACGGCTTCTATCCAAAAACTACTACGAAACTGTAAAAAAATTGAAAGAAAGTATTAAGAATTTTCACAGAAAATAGGACATTGTAGGCTCAAGTCTACTGTCAACGAGTCTTACGAGTATAGTAGTTTGTATTCATTTTACATGAAAGTTCAACATGATAGATTTAACAGACCCGCAGAGTATTCTATAAAATAAAGTGAAGTCCGAAAGCTTTTCCTTTTCACTCCATGGTCAAACTTGATAGCAAGTCAAGTAAAAAAAATGATATCAATGAGAACGTTACAGTAATAGTAAAATGACAAACGCGAACAGCCAATTATACGAAAGGACTAATGTTTATTATGACGTATTCTTCAATTCTATTAGAGCATATCTGTTGAGTGTTCAATTAGATTAATGAAGAATCGAAGATGTTTTAAAAAGATCAGTGCAAATAGAATACATTCACTTAGGATTATGAATGACGACAGTTTTTCTTCACTTAGAATTCTAAAAGACTCTAAATCTGTTTTTCTACATAGTTGTCTCCATATGCTCTAACATCAATGCGTCCAAAACAATTGTCAGGTATATCTACTCATTCTTCTCCTCCTACTATGAATGACATATTACCATACATTCCTGCTCGCCGTCCAACGGAAGTTCTTTATCGACCACCACCTGCTCCAAGACAGTTAATAAGATTACCACAAAATGAAGATAATGAAATAGTCGAACATTTCAATATGCATGAAGAAGAAGAAAATATTCTAAGAAAACCTACAATGAATCCATCACAAAAACAACGTGAACAAAGCATTGAAAATGATAATCGTCAAAATAAAGTTATTGAAAAAGTAGAACCAGCTCAAATTAATCAACGACGTTTATCATTACCAAAACACTTACCACCAGTTCGTTTAACTAATGGTGATAATAAACGACGACCAATAAAATTTGATAAATCACTTTTACTCGATGAACCAACATATTCATCTACACAAAAAAATGGTTCCATTCAAGAACTACAGCAACAACAACAAAATAAACAACCATCAAATGTTGATCAATCAAGAAATCAACATAATGATAAAGAAATTGTAATGGAAGTAATACATCAAGAATTAAATGAACGACCATTAAATGATACTGAATAAATTGTCATAGTTGAACAAAAAAAAAAGACACTCAATTCAATGATAAAAATCGTGTAATTATTAGAGACTGTAGTAACTCACGGTATCATCGTGACTAATATTTTTAAAAGTTCATGGCGATGAACATTACTAGAAGTTGGTCATGAACATTAAAACAATCCTACATCTTCTCATTAATTAACTGCATTAGATCTCTCATAAAACAAAATAATCTCATTGTTTCTCTGAATCTAAATAACTAGACATAATTATCAAAACTTTTTTTAAGGTGGAAATGAGTTGAATCCCTCACCCATTGATCTCTAATATAATAGGTATTTTGCGAAAAGTAGAAGTTCATTTTATCTCAAATGAGCAAAGTTATAGCTTATGAAAACTAAGGAATTCCACATGAGCTTATATTCTGTAGGATTTTGTTCATTTGTTATTTAATATTACCAATTATTGTTTTCTTTCTTTTCGCTGCAACATATTCTCGTTTCTTCTCTAACTATAGAACCGATACAACTAACTTTGGTCAGAAAATATAGATAGTATACGAAAACGATTCGTAAGAACTAGAAACAATTTTCATGGCACACGGTCACGAGCTTGGGCCACTATGATCAGAAAACCTTTGTTACGCTGGTCTCTACTAATCCTACTATGTACTTTCTTGTCACATAATATCATCTAATTTTCACCTGATTAATGACGCAACCATATTATTTCTTTTTGTTTTTCATGCTTTTTCCCATTATTTCTCAATGTTTTTTTTAATGTATGCATTGTTTTTCTTTAATTATGAATACTGCAACTTTTTTAAATTTCTTTTTTCTGTATTATTGGTTTGCAGTGCAACATAAATGGGGATGCGCTTCCATGCCAGAAGCATTTAATAAATTGTAGAACTGGCTAATAAGATAGTTTGATCCTTATTACAAATGCACCGAACTTCAAAGTTTTAGATTGATCTTGACTGCAACTATTTTTAATTGATGAATAAAAGAAAACAGGTTAAATAAAAGAAAGAATTTAAGGATTGAATATGGCAGATCGTAAGTAAACAAAATAAATGACTCAACAACTGAAATCAGGCCAATCCATGCAGGATTAAAATGAAACACAATCTAGCTGCTATTGCTAAACAGAGGAAGATTGTTTTATTTTATGTACTTTGGATCATATTTCTTCACCATCGTTTTATTTAATTCTCCAGAGATGCACTAAGGGTACCCCCTTCTTCGCCCAAAATTTTTGTTTTTTTTCATTTTTGTTTTTTTTGTGGCTATTGTATAGTTTCAAGTACTGTCTATCTACTGACTATCTTTTGAAACTCAACAATTGCCTTTAAAGATTAAAAAATTCGAGGAGAAATTAAATTTACATAGTGAAAATAGCTAAAATTTTATATTTTTTTTTGCTTTTCTCTCAAAATTAAATTTTTAGTAGGAAAAGTACTGTTTCGCTCCAATTTCTTCGGCATGGTAAGAGAGATCGAGCTGAAACCTTTTTTACATACTCTACTCACCATTTAGGGTGAGTATTTTTTTTCTTTTCAAGAATTATTGCTCTGGTGATTTTTGACAGCTTTCACAAAATTTTTTAGTGGAATAAAAACAAGCGTTTTGTAGGGTAGGCTCAGTATTTTGACTTTTTTATTGAAGCAACAAAAGATAAAAAGAAACTAGAAAGCAATTTGCACCCCAAACAGTATCTACTACCCGTAAAAAAATTTTCAGCTCAATCGGATATACCACCTTGAAGAAACGGGGACGAAAACTAAGGCGATTTTTCGACATTGTGACCCTATTATCTCATAGAAGACAGCATCAGGGAATTTTGAGTCTATGATAACTTTTGCTGTACTCATCAAGATCTATCTGCCCTGAAAATTTCAAATTTTTCTGATGAGCTGTTCTCAAGAAACCCCGGAAAGGGGGGTGGGGAGGGTATCATTAAGGAAGTATTTTTCATATATTATGATGAGGCGTTGTTGAGATGCAGTCTTGCATGTTATTATGGCAGTCTTTGTCACGATCTATGGAAGAAGGTTAGTTTCAAACTCTATACTTCAACATTTCTTTTGGATCATGCTTCACAAAATAGTCAGTTATGTGAAGATATACTGTAACTTGACTACAATTCAGGATGCGTCTATAATGGTCCATGTATCTGAAGAACCGTTTAGACAATTAGCTAAGAATTATGGAATTTCTGGAGAAGGCTTCATCAGAAAAATGTTTAACTTTCAGAGTGCATAGAACTCAATGAGTGAGGGAAAGCGTCGTCATAGACTAAAACTTCCTAAATGCTTCCTTCTTGCAGATGTCCAGAGCGCAATGGCTAAAATTCATCCAGTTCTCTCATCCGCAATAAATCTGGTAGAGCTAAATTTTTTTTTCACAGATATTAGCCACTTTTTGAGGAGCCAACTTTTTTTAGTTTCTTTTTATCTATTTCTATTCGAATAAAAATATAAAAATACTGAGTATAGTTTCAGCTCGATCGAACGTATTATGCCGGCGAAAGCGGGTGCCGATTTTGCAACTTTCTTTTTATAAAAGTTGATTTCAAGAAAAATGAGAAACGAATTTTCCTTTATGCATCAAGAATGTTTTTTCTGCCAGTAAAATGGTCAAAAATTGGCCGTGTCCATCGGTGTTAGGAGTGCATGATCTATACTGAAATCATCTTTGTCATGAGAAATAATCTTTATTAAGAGGAGAATTTCGTATACGATCCAGTATTATTCATATGTATCGGTCGATAACAGTCTGTAGACATACAAAAACCAAAGTAAAATACGCAGAAACTATAGATGTACGAAAATATGAATGATTAGTTCCATACAATTCATCACATATGGACAGTGTTAGCATCGAGTTTATGCTCTTAAGCTGATTGCTTCTGTTTAAGAATTTCAAGCTTGTGCATATGGATCAAAGTTTGAGGATGGCCAAATGGTAGAGGTTGTTGATTGATATTAACTGTTTTTTGAGCCGTTCAGTAAGACTGAACGACGTTGTCATATTGTCTCCGTCTCAAGAGCCATTAAATAGAAATATTCAGTTCTTTCCCATGCTGCTAATTGATTCAACAATTTAGTAAAATTCATGCAAGGATTCTTATCCTCCATTGATTTTTTAAAATATTTTCTCAACGCACTTAATTTTTCATCGCTATCGTCTGTTGATGTTAAAGGAATGACCGATTTTCTATCTGATAAATATTTAAAAGAATCAATGCAAAATACCAATCCCATAGAAGAGAGCCATTCTTGTTTGTCCTTAAAAGCAGCAAGTCCAGTAACATTCACCAAAGGGAATTCCATATTTCTGTCGACGATAATTTTCATTAGTACATTGACTTTCTTTCGATTATAAAGAGAATCACGAGCAAATCGAAGACCTACTTCAAATTTCGAGCTCATTGAAAGAAATTTCGAAATAGACGAAAGTCCTCCTTCGTTCATACGAATGTGATCAAAGTCTACTTTATCCATTATTTGTCCACAAAAAAATTGCAGTTGATTGTCGTATTGATGAATACGAAAAGCTTTGTTTAACATTTGATAAAGAAATAATTCTTGACTATACCACCAAGTACGAGAATGAAATGAATATGTTTCTTTGAATGTGTTGAGAAATTTTTGTTCTCCGGGATTATGTTGATATTGTATTTCGTAAAATTCGTACATGTTTTGCATGTTGTCGTTCTTCAGAGTTAAAATAATTTCTCGAAATAATTTACCATGCATGAAAAAAGCTTCTCGCTTATTGGTCTTAGTAATTGTTTTTGAAAATGTTCGTTCTACTAGTTCAAATTCAACAAGATCACAATCGGTCTTTTTAGCATCTGTTGTTAATTGTTGATAATTAACATTATTGATATATAAAGATCACGAATTTTAAGATATTGGCTAGTCCAAGTATCGTGTTTTGTCTTATACAAACGGAAAATATAAATCGAATCCAGGTGTGTAACGTCGTCTAATGTTAGTACAAATTGTTCGTCAAGTATTTCTGAAATAATCAGAAAAGTCTTCTCATCTTTAATACGAACCATAAAAGCTTGACAGTCTTCCGGATACGTAAATGTTTTTAATTGAATTGGCGATTTGTTGTAACTGACTTTGGAATATCCATATTCTTGCTAATTTAACTGGCTGACAACAGAACCATAAAATTTTCTACATTGCCTACTTGCGGCTCAGATCCGTCAGATCTCGATGGAACAGGCTCGAGTATTAGATCAGTTCTGAGTGATGTATTAGGTGGAGCCGAATGAATCTGGTTGCTTGGAACAGATGCACCACATCCCATGTTGTTAGAAATAAAATCGACTATCAGAAAGTAATTTATTAAGTTTTAAGATAGCATGAATCAAACGATAGTAATAATACAAGACTTACTTCGATTACGTGAACTATTAATGGACTATCATCTTTTCTGCAAATTCCTTTTTTTTCTTCGAATGAATACAAACAATTTTTAGAAAATCAATGTAAAACGAAAGCGAGAATGATTTGTTATCTAGTGATATCTCGCTTCCAGTTATTATCTCTTGTTCTGATTTATTCAACCCTAGTTTTTGGATTTCATTTTTCTTATTAAGTGTAGGACAAATGTAAGAATAATTAATGAAGAAAAAGAAGAGTAAACAAGACTAAGTGTCTTGCTTTCTTTCATGGGATACCAGAAAACTATTGACATAACAATTGAAGGAGAGGAAAACTAGAATAACTTATTCGATTTGTTGCATAAAATGGACGACAACTATGAGAATAAATATATGAAAAAAATGAAAAGTTTACTAGGGTAACTCATTTGATTTCTCGCTTAGCACTCTTAAAAACTGTTGGAATACTTTAAAAAACAGAAAGAAAAAGTTAAACTGAATTATTTTGTTTTGTTTTTGTGATAAGATATTGGAGCATCATCGCGATAATTAAATAAAGAAAAGAAAAATTTATTTTTCTCGTTCTATTCCACTAATAAGATGCTGAACAACTGTCACGA